TCCGCTCGACAAAGTCGACAGCGGAGCTAAAAAGAACATTTAGTCCAAAGTAAGCAGAGGTTGTAGCATATGTGCTCCCATTGGCTGTTAGATTTAATTAAAAAAGATATTTGAATCATTTTAGTACGAAAAAATATTACTTAATAAATTTATACCAGCCAGAAAGAAATTGCAGTTCACACTGTACTATTTTAAACATGTTCTACCAAAGTCTAGGATGAACTAATTCACCAGTTTCCACTCTACAAAGTTATCAAATTAATATTCATGGGATTCTGCAAAAATAAAATATTAAGAATGTGCAAAAAGCCAGAGTACTTGTGTTTTCAATTTCATTAAAATCTGACCAGGAATATGCCGAACATTTTGCTTGAGCTAAACCAAGTGGATGCCAAGCTATCAAAAGAAATAAAAAAGTGCATAAAAAAACTAATCAGCAGAGGTAGTGATCCTGTAACCTAAGTGTATGTCAAATTTCCTTTGAACTGGATTGCAGCGTTCATTATAGGAAATTGTCTCAGATTGGCTGCTAATTTGCATACTAATTTGCATACTAATTAACATATTGTAGTTGTATTAAAATAATATATAAAAAAATATCCGGAGTTTTGAAAAAAAAAATTATGACTATTAAGTCAACATCATTAAAATTGAGAATTGCGTGAATTTGACCCCCTTCCTAATATTGTTTCACTTATCCCTTAATGCACAAAGTCAACAATTAAAAACATGGTCGCCGTTAAATACATCTCAATCGAGGTCCGTAAATTATTTTCCTGCTCATAATGGAGATAAATTATGGTAGATAAACATTGAAATTGCCACCCTGACTTCAGTACCGAAATAAATAGCTGATTGGGAAAATGTGTCTCTGTTGACAGAGGTTTGATTTACCGATAAACTTCACCAGTGTAGTAACGCACTCGGGTATCATATTTACTTCAAAGGTAATTTAAAAGTGATGATAGATTCATTGATATTGAATTACAGTACTTTTCAACTTCATCATTGCTTTCAAACAGTCACGGTTGGTCGAACTTGACTTGTGTTTTCTCGATAATTCTAGTCTAATATGTCGTCACAAAACCAAGTTTTAATCTGCTAGCAGTTGCCAATGAAAACCAGAATTCACGGCAACACAAATATATAGACGAACAACGAACCAAGGAGTTGCACTAATACTTAACATAAACGAGGAATCCAATGAGGATAATCACACAAAACCATAAAATCCGTAAAATGTAGTAAAACTGAACTGTACTTATCCAAGCTGGCAGCAGCAAAACAGCGCCCTCCTTGACCGATCATGATCAGCATCAGCGTGTTCTAAATCACGATCAGCGTGTTCTAAACTTTTATGTTTTTATTATTCCAGTATTTTATATGCCAAACGTTATTCCCAAGCCTCCTAAATGACGAGATAAACTTTCGATTTACACGTTTCATAACCAGTTCTTGAACTAATAGCAGGACTGTTTTTCTGGCAAAGTGAGACACTGTGCGATCACTAGTTTCTCACTGAAGTCAGGACACAAAAGGATAAATCAAAGTTCATAATAAATACCATAAGCACAGTTTCTTACCTTTGAGAATTTAATCAATATAAGCCTTGTGCAAAGAACGATACAGTCCCGGAATACAATAACGACGCCGATTTCCTCAGCGGTTAGACTGGCGCATGCGCAATACGGTAATGCCAGTTCTCTTGCGAGATGTTGTTCTGGCAAATTTCGGCATTTTTATTAATAAAATGTTGAAAATCACAGAAAAACACAATGAAACTTTGGCGAATCAAAAAAATACTTGGTGTGCATATGTATGGCATTGAGAATTACATATGCACCAACTTGGAAAAACATTGGACAGAGCATATCAAAGTTATAAGAGATAAAAGACAGACGAACGGACGGACGGACAGACGAAACCCAATCTACCGTATAAGCCTTCGGCAGACTTCGTCTGCGAAGGCTGACAAGCAGCCTCTCGGCTGAGATAGCTCCGCTGTTATTCATCGAAATTAGAGAATAAGCGATATCATCACGAAATGAACAAATCTGAGAGAGGTCTACCTGTAATACCTACACATATAATATCAAAGCAATCTGGCTTGCAGTTTTTAACAAGTCAAAAATATCACTTTTAACCAAAAATGACAAAAATATTTATCAAAATTAGAGAATTGAAAATATCATTACGAAATGAACAAATCTGAAAGAGGTCCACATGTAGTATCTATTTCAGAACCAAAGTGAGGCCTTTCACTCTTCCTTGACGCCTAAATTAGAGTGACGCCTATTCAAGAGATTGTACGGTGTATTGTTTGTTTTGTGCATGTATTGTGGAAAAAAATTACCACGCCCATTTAGTGATTACAATATGTAGTAATATAAACCGCACCCAGAACTTTAGTTTTTTATCCTCAATTTTTAAATTGATACACTGTTATATAAACTGTGGTTTATATTAGAACTTTTACGGTACTTGAATAAAAATACAATGAACTAACATGTACACATTTACTCAAAAAATAAATAACTGTTAGTAAGTTTATTATTAAAATACAAAATTGTAAAATATTTTTCCTTTTTATCTATCAGTCTAGAGTAACAATTTATTGGTAGAAGTTTTCATTATAAATGTGTTTATCACAAGATTACCTTCATATAATGTACCATTTTTCTCTGCATTCACACCTTGCAGGAAGAGATATTTTGCCTGAGGAAACAGACAGGAATAAAAACTACTGTAACAGTAACCAACAGTGTATATCGTTAAATTATCACAATTTACAGATGATGAAATTTTGCAAAGTCTATCTGATTCCAGCGCTACAAAATTCTCTGACCTCCTCTGATGTATTCAACTTTTGCATAAAAATTTTGCAATAACAAATTGTAATTGTGAATTTATTAACTTATCACTATAAAATAAATAAATGAATAAAAAGCTGTTCAAATAGGTGGCATGTGCATTTAGCTAAAACTGGAAAGCACTTGTAGGATACAATATTTCACCATATTTAATTTTCACATAATTCTGTTACTGAAAATCTCACCTTCATTTTGAATTCATAATGTTATACATTGTAAATGGCATAATAATAATAACCCTTGTCGCCAACAATTTACATTTTATGTAATGTAATTGTTAAAAAAAATGTATGGAAACAAATAAATAATACTAGTTTGAGACCTCTCTGTTGTACATATACATGATATATTAATCAGCTAAAGTCATATTACCGTGTCTGTATCTCTATTTGAAAGTAAATATGCTAATTGATTTTTACTGTCTTTCATATTTGATAAAATTTTGATTTCATTGAAGAATGTTTTTCTTTCAGTATCTATACTATGTAGTATACTATTTCTCACAAGTCAAAAAATTTGATAGTTAGAATAATCATTTGAATCTTGGTGGTTTTAACTGCCGTTTAGAAGAGCATCAAAACAAACGCCACTGGCAATACACACACACATCTACAAAAAAAATGCCATGACAAAACAGAATAATCAAAATCAACAAATATATTAGGTACCTCCTTTTCAAGAATTTCAGGATCTTCATTCTGACTATTGTTTCTTGATCTTCTTCCAGTTCTGGCATTATCAGTAGATGCTCTGTTGGAGCTTCCAATCAATTCAGCCTGCCATTGCTGACGAAAGTTAGTCAGTTCCACTTCTAGATTAGACTCTTCAGTTTCTTCTTCTTCCTCCTCACTGGAATAATCACCACGTGGAATAGCAGCATAATTAGTTGCCTGTAAAATCAACAATATCTATGATGACATAGGGATTATACATGTACCAGTTTACTGTCAACAATATCTATGATGACATAGTGATTATACATGTACCAGTTTACTGTCAACAATATCTATGATGACATAGGGATTATACAAGTACCAGTTTACTGTCAACAATATCTATGATGACATAGTGATTATACATGTACCAGTTTACTGTCAACAATATCTATGATGACATAGGGATTATACATGTAGCAGTTTACTGTCAACAATATCTATGATGACATAGTGATTATACAAGTACCAGTTTACTGTCAACAATATCTATGATGACATAGGGATTATACATGTAGCAGTTTACTGTCAACAATATCTATGATGACATAGTGATTATACAAGTACCAGTTTACTGTCAACAATATCTATGATGACATAGTGATTATACATGTACCAGTTTACTGTCAACAATATCTATGATGACATAGTGATTATACAAGTACCAGTTTACTGTCAACAATATCTATGATGACATAGTGATTATACAAGTACCAGTTTACTGTCAACAATATCTATGATGACATAGTGATTATACAAGTACCAGTTTACTGTCAACAATATCTATGATGACATAGTGATTATACATGTACCAGTTTACTGTCAACAATATCTATGATGACATAGTGATTATACAAGTACCAGTTTACTGTCAACAATATCTATGACGACATAGTGATTATACAAGTACCAGTTTACTGTCAACAATATCTATGATGACATAGTGATTATACATGTACCAGTTTACTGTCAACAATATCTATGATGACATAGTGATTATACAAGTACCAGTTTACTGTCAACAATATCTATGATGACATAGTGATTATACATGTACCAGTTTACTGTCAACAATAATTATGATGACATAGTGATTATACAAGTACCAGTTTACTGTCAACAATATCTATGAGGACATAGGGATTATACATGTACCAGTTTACTGTCAACAATATCTATGATGACATAGTGATTATACATGTACCAGTTTACTGGTTGCCCTTTGGTACATTGTGCATTCATAATTTTAGCATATTTGATGTTGAAGGAATCAACTTTAAAATAATTAAAATTCACTGAATTATGACAGAAACAATTCATTCTATGCTACTGTTTGCTCTAACAGTAGCGCTTATATAATGGAAGAAATGTGTCTATGATCAAAATAAATCATAATTTCCGGTAGAAATATAGCTCGCTGATGTCATCCTAGTACATGCATGTCTTGTTATATGTCATGTTAAGTATGTTGACCATTTGTGTTTGACCCAAAATGTGGTTCTCTGTGAGCAATTGAAGTAAGGTATAACAACAGTGAGAATTAACTGACAAGAATCTGTAACCAAGGCCAAAAAACAAACTTTCTGGCACACTTAGCCTACTTGACAGAGATGTATACATAACATACACAATTTGCATTGTTATAAATAACACCTGATTAGGGTAGTAAATGGTTTGACTTTATGGCAGGTAAATTTGAAAACAGATCCAATAAACCCATGGCGTTTGTAATTTCGTGCAAGTTTTGGCTTGACGCTCTAATAACTATATAGATTGATAGCTCAGCAGGAAACAGAGTCAAAGAAACCTTAGAAAGAACGAGGCAGAGGGTTCTCCGAACCCACCTATTCACATAGTTCATACCCACCATAGATTCCAGTCAGTCAAAATTACTATTTTGAACTGTAGGCATTAATCAGCGATTCTGCCAATGATGGAGAGATAGAATCTAGGTCAGGGGAAGTCCCATGACCCCAAGATTCTTTTCCCTTACGTCACAAACCATGTGACCGAGGCCATATGGCGGCGCCATTAGACTGGCTATTCACTACGGAAAAAGTGGGGTGGTAGGGCGAGACCCGGAGTCTATGGTGGCTATGAAATGTAAATAGGTGGGTTCGGAGAACCCTCTACCTAAATTCACTATGTTCAATTGCCCACCAGAGACTCCGGTCTGTCAAAATGACTATTTTGAACTGTAGGCAGAGTCAGACGCCGATAGGTGGCAGGTTTTCCGAGCAAACAGAAAATGATGAAAGTCTTTTCCCAGTCTGGGATGATACACTCTACACCACTCATCACGTAGATAAGACCCGCAAAAAAGGGTGGTGTCTTACTCGGCCTGTGCTGTCCCCGGAGCAAAAAATCTGAAATGCTGCTACGGTGACAGGGTTCGGTGTGTTCGAGAAAGCTAGACCCAAAACCCAAATTGTGGGGTAGTATGCTTTCGAAGTAAAGACTGAAACATTTCTGCATTTCTGAAAAGCGAGACCTTGAGACTTACAAGGAGAGCTGATGGTGGAGAAATCTGTCCGCAAAAATGCTGAGACCAACTTATGGCCTATGCACAGGAACCCTTGTGATTGTTCAGGCTGGGTCAGCAACCAGAGTCTGACCCACTACGATGGGACCCAGCCTAAAAGAGGCCCTCCTCAATGAATTGGGTGGCTCTTAGGTAGTAATTGATAATGACGTTTGCATTCTCCAGAAGCCTGCCCTCAGAAAACGTTCGTGGGGACGCCTGACGCTAGCACTAGTGAGTCAGCAATCGCACGGACCTCATGCGCTTGTATTTGGTATCTCTGCAAGCTCCGAGTCGAGAAAGTTAAAGTATTATAGACCTCTAATACAGTTGCAGTAATCAACCTGGTGATGAAAGTCGGGGAGACCGGCCTATCCTGCCTGCCTGGGCCGTAACAAAAAGACATGTGCTTGGCACCCAGTCTTGAATCCCTAGTACGATTTTGGTAGCAACTCCGTGCTTGAACCGTGCAGAGAAGTAATTTCTCCTGATCCTTCGGGCCGACAAAATTTGACAACCGGGGGATGACCATCGGGTGAAGATCGTGTCTTGGGATTTGGTTCTTGGCAAGAAACCTGATTCGTGTCTTTAGCACAACTTGATTGTCCATAAAGGCGGCGCACCCATCCACGAAAGACAGACAGACGCCTACCTGAGGCGAGGAACAGTAGGAAGACTATTTAAAACGTTTCAGCCAGTAATATTTTCATGAACTTATTTATTCAAAAAATCGACCACGTAATTATTTGGAGTATTGTTGTAATATATTTTTCGTACCATCAATTTCTAAAACGTATATATTCACAGTAATGAACGAACAAATAAAACTTCTGAACTTTCAAAGTTACGACGTGACATAACTTACTTCGCGATGTTATACACCGATTATACCAATAATTCCTCTTACTCAGTCATGATGCCAAGCAAAAAAATGTTACTTCGTTTTTTTGATAAGAAATAAAAGTAAAATTTAACTTTTATCTTATCGGGAGTGGATATTTTTGATCACTCGATCACTTTGGTAAAAACACAGCCCGCCATAATGTTTGTGATGTATCAGCTGGCCGGCATGTGTCCTTCAACCCGATGGGTCAATAATTCCATTAACCAATCAAAATGCCGCATGGTAATGCCGGTAGAATCTGAAGTTTTCCGAATGGTAGTGATTATAAAAATTACATTGCGGAAGTAAAGCGATGTCGTAGCATGATGCGTTGACATCGATTTCAGTCGAAAACTGCAGGAAAGAGGTAATTAGCAATTTTTAAAAGGTAAAATAGGTATTGAAAGAAGAGTTTTTACATGAAACTTGATAATAACAGTTCAAATGTATTTTACCAAATCACGCAATAAACACGTTGATTTTTTTCTTGAGTAGCGTAAACTGTCAGATCTTGAACTCCGCTTTGACCATGTTATATCGGGGTGAAATTGATTTTGAAAGAATTTTAGCTTTCAATCTTTAGACTGTGTCTATCGCAGAAAGTATTTATATACTTACAAACAAAGAGATGATATTTTCACAAAATTGACTAGCCGCTACGTATCGTGCGACTTCTATTGTTTACAAATTATAATCCACGACTGACAGGATGCATAATATACATAATTATAATAACAATCGGAAGCATTTTCATGGTGGTCGCTAATTTTGAGTGCCGGTTTGGGCCGACCACCGCCGACCAGTGTGGCGAGAACCCTGGTTATGGGGCTGTAACATCTTTTATTTACCAGGGCTGTTACCAACCAGGGCTGAATCATCCCGACATCTAAATGTTTATATATAATTGCATCTGTGTATGAACTGGTCTATATCACAATTTCATACATGTAACACTGATTTGTAAACTGTGAATCAATTTTTTGAACTTCTGGTAAGAGATTCCTTAGAGGTCCCTCACCCATAACTCTAATCCTAATCCTAAACTGTCAGCACCCCTCCCCCATTTAAATTGTATACATAACATATCTATATAAAAAAAAAAACAATTCTATCATTGATGCAGCCTATGAAGAATCCAAAACTCTTGTGCATGACCCATGGCTTAACTTTATACAAAAATTACTAGTCATAACAGATCTAACTAATTCAGACCCACATCAGAATAATTTTTGTGATATTTTTAAAGAGAAGCTCAAATGTTTGTACCGTATGAAGTGGAAAAACAATTTGTTGAACAATTGTAACCTTGACTTTTACAGGTGTGAATTTGAACATTATTTGGAAAAAATTAAAAATAAAAATCATAGAATAGCTTATACTAAATTTAGAACTTCTGCACATTTTCTTCTCATTGAATCTGGTAGACATAAAGGCATTTTGAAGGAAAACAGGCTATGTAATCTCCATGAATGCAATGAAGTAGGGGATGAGAAACATTACATTTTATATTGTAATAATTGCCAAATCAAAGAACAAAGATCTAGATTCCTTGCAGCTTTATACATCTATGCCCCAAAGCTGGAAGATTTTAGCATGGATGAATTATTTCCTATTATTGTTTCAGGTAATGATTTTTTCATTCTTAGCATTTTTGCAAAATTTATTTTCTATATTCTTGATATGTTTTAGTACTGTAAGTTTTTGTTGTTCTGAATGTTTTGTTTTGTTATTTTTGGACTTTACTCAAGATTTCATTGGTACGTTCCAAATAAAAAATTCTATCTATCTATCTATCTATCTATCTATCTATCTATCTATAAAGGGGCATATACATGTACAATTACATTGGGGCTGGAGGTTTGATTAGTTTTAGGCCTTAAGGAACTCTTTCCCCATTTTGTAAGCCCCAACGAAGAGGGAAAGTGTGTACCCCCATACCTTAGCCTCCAGTCTTTTCTCATCAAGTGGAATTGGCAACACTTTGCAGACAAAATGAAATTGCGCAATTTTAAGTCCATATTGCGTAGGATAAAATTCAAAGGCGAGAATATTTGTTGAGAAATCAAGTAAGTTGGGAATTCTACCAAACTCGTTTCAGTTAACACCCAATCAAATTCTAAATAATAGATAAGGGGTGAACTCTTGACCTACATTCGAAAACAACAATACGGAAAATGTGTGTGACACCAAAAAAACACCCACTATAGGAGACATCAAATTCCCATTCACCAGTGATTGCAAATCCCATAAACCTGGAAACTAATATTACTTATTTACCATAGTTTCGTCTTAGTCGATGAAGTCGACTTATTTACGCCTGGGAATCACGATCGGAGAAGCGAACGACGGAATTATTGAACATCAAAAACTTACGCATCGCCGCCATCATTGAAATTAAGAAAAACATTAACAGTTCTGTATTTACGTTACACGATTCGACAAAACAAACTAACAGATAGGCGTGCTATATTATTTATGATTCAGTTATTAAAGTATATTATTATAATGTAATGTCCTATTTTGTGGAAATATTACAAAACATATTGAAATCAAATTACGAAAACACAGTCTATGAATAGCAAGACTATTTAAAAATGGCAGACATAGTATAATTTAGTGGGACTGTGATGTTATACATGTTAATTTTTCAATACATTGACGATCGAAGATGAGTTCTGTCGAGGAATTCCACAAAGCAGAAAGTGATGCCAAGTCTACAGCTGCAAAGCATGTGGCAAATATGCTTCAGGTTTGTTATTATTATAATTTTTGGTTGTTGTTTGATGTTTCATAACTTAATTGTCAATGGTTCCGGGCTCTCTAAGTTGTCTCTCATTCATTAAACATTCAACGTCTATAATAATTTGTTATGTGTGCATCGTGATACAAAACAAGATAAACAAAATTAATAAACAAGAGATAAATTAAGAAAACATGTGATCCCTGCATGACTGACCAAGAATAATACGTTATAGGTGTGATATGGCAGACACTAAATTAACATAATTTATCTAGTAGTGGAGTAAAACAAGGGTGTAATTTGAGTCCCCTTCTATTCAATGTCTTCATTAATGACTTATCGGATAGTGTTAATTCAAACCTGTTAAGTCTAGGGAACTCAGATTTAAACAGTCTGCTTTTTGCTGATGACATAGTATTGTTGTCAGATTCAAGCAAAGGGCTTCAAAATAACCTAGACAAACTCAGTACCTATTGTGAGATGTGGAAATTAATATTCTCACGATCTTATACATCGTGCTGTATTTGAATGATCGACATGATCTATTGATTCAAAACAGTGAACCGATATCCTTAAATGCAAATCACTACTCTGTTGCAGCAAAATTTACAGTCCAACTGAACATTAAATGGTACAATTGTACACAAGCAAATTGGCCCTTTTCAGGGCCACCACATCTTCCAAAAAAAGATATACTGTTAGCAAAACATACAGTGCATGTAAACCAATGTACCCAAACTATGTATGCATATATATACAAAATGCGTATAAAACAAAAAGAGATACAGTGGCCCCTCGCTCAGTGGCTGGTGTCGGGATCCAAGCAAAAACCGCAGGGCCACGACTTACTAAGAGACCTTGTGAAAGAGAGGGGGGGGGGGGGGGCGTGCATTGAAAACACATAAAAAGCACATACATGTATAAACCCTTGGTTTAGTTAATTGAAAGATTATAAACATATTTACAAATTGTGTGTCAGGCAGTATTTAAATAAGATCACGATTATGTTTGCTGTAAACATTGCAGTGATGCGTTGTTTATTTTGTTTGTGTCCAATATTTTATGGGTCGTTTGCTGTTGCTTGCGACTTCGACAGTAACAGTTTCCAAAATAAACCACTTTCATCACAATTATAAACTTGTTTGTCGGAATAACCATCTTCATAGATAATTTCTCTCAGTTTTTCGAAAAAAGTTCTGACAGTGTCCATGTTCGCAGATCGAGCTTCGCCTTGGATTGAGACTTCGTGTATAGCGTGTCTTCTTTGCCATCACAAGAACCACCCTGAACTTGCCCCTGAATTCAAAGTCGTCATATCTGAGTTGTGTGCTTTGCATTGAGTGGAGTTCCGGCAGACCGTTCTTGAAGAAACGTAAACAGCTTTATCAATGTCATCTTTGTCAGACAATTTTGCACGTTTTTCTGTTCAGTCCCGCCTCTTGGTCAACTTTGAAAATGAATTCCCTCTTCATTTTTTACCCACCCACGAATAGTGGGCTCACCCACTGCTAGATCACGTGCAACCCTTCACTTGTTTCACCATAGACCTTAGACTCATTCTAAGGTCTATGGTTTCACCTCTTCTTGACACGGTCGATCACTGTGAGTTTATGGCGTACAAACAGGCTGGATAGCTTTTGCTTTGACATGCTGTTCAGTTGAGAAATAGAGCTCAGATAATGAATTCAACTTATTGTAGCAAGTTTTATAGAGGTAATGTATACCAAAATGGGATTGGCCGAGAAGCATGTACTGTCACTACCCGACACCCCTATGACACCTTGAGCAATTGATGGACAGTAGGTGTTAAGTTGTATCTTTAATGGTTAGTTAAAAACACTATGCCTCGAAACATTAGTCTTTGTACTTCAGAACTGCTGTCAAAACACAACAGAAATTTTGGGAGCCAGCCAAGTATCTGCGACTTAGCCGAATCGCGACTTACCGAGGCACGACTTAGCGAGGGGTCACTGTATACCAAAACGTACAAGAAAAGGCCAAGGTTTTAAAAATTGTAGATTTATTTAATATTTAACCAATCTTGAAAAACGTGGTGCTTTAAATATACATGTAAGCCTGCGTGGTTAACAGATAAAAAATATAATAATTCAGTTATTCAAATAATAATTTATTGAGATTGGGTTGAGGTGGCGGGTCTTCTGAAATAGGTGGGTTGAGATGTGTAGGGATACTGAGTTGTATTGTCCAATGAAAAACGAGTCACGATATTTTGGGATGTCCAGCACCCGTACATGTACACAGAGACTGCAATCACTTACTAGTAGTACATTGTGCTTTTATCTCAGAAAGTAAACTCAAAGGTAAGACTTGTACTACATCTGTGATGCTGCTTCCTGCGATGCTAACATGACAACAAAAATAAAACCAATATATACTTACAATATATGGCTACCGTCTATTCAGAAAATAATAAACTAAGTACATACAACAAATTTAAGACAACGTATGAATTCAAAAACATATTTAGAACAAGTATAGAATATCAATCACCAAATAAGCATCACAAAGCTCAGGATATCAGAGATAGAAAAACTGACATATCTACTAGTAGGAATACCACCAGAGGCAGACACATACTTCTTCATTGACACATACTTCTTCATTGTCATGTCCTACATTGATGTGTGCTTCTACATTAACACATACTTCTACATGTACATTGACACATGTTTCTACATTGACATGTGCTTCTACATTGTCATGTGCTTCAACATTGATGTGTGCTTCTACATTGACATGTGCTTCTACATTGTCATGTGCTTCAACATTGATGTGTGCTTCTACGTTGTCATGTGCTTCTACATTGACACATACTTCTACATTGTCTTGATTGTCTTGTGCTTCAACATTGATGTGAACTTCTACATTGACATGTGCTTCTACATTGTCATGTGCTTCAACATTGATGTGTGCTTCTACATTGACATGTGCTTCTACATTGTCATGTGCTTCAAACATTGATGTGTGCTTCTACATTGACATGTGCTTCTACATTGTCATGTGCTTCTACATTGATGTGTGCTTCTACGTTGTCATGTGCTTCTACATTGACACATACTTCTAACATTGACGTGTACTTCTACATTGATGTGAACTTCTACATTGTTTTGTGCTTCAACATTGATGTGTACTTCTACATTGATGTGTGCTTCTACATTGACACATGCTTCTACATTGACACATGCTTCTACATTGACACGTTTCTACATTGACATGTGCTTCTACATTGACACATGCTTCTACATTGTCATGTGCTTTAACATTGATGTGTGCTTCTACGTTGTCATGT